AGAGCAGTAGTAGCAGTAGTAGCAGAAGAAGCGGTAGTAGTCGTCGTCGTAGTAGTAGTAGTAGGAGGATAGTAGCAGCAAAGGTGCAGCGTAGTGGTGGTAGTAGTAGTAGTAGCAGCAGCAGCAGCAGTAGTAATAGCAGCAGTAGCAGTAGCAGTAGCAGTAGCAGCAGCAGTAGTAATAGCAGCATTAGTAGTAGATGATAGATTACGCGAAAACCGAGCTTCTCGTAACTGCTGTACTGTTCGTCTTCGCTGTTGACATCGCTGCTGCTGCTTGTATGAGTCGTCACATGATGATGACACTGCTATGGTACAGAGAAAGAACAACCAACAAACACGCAGGCCCTCTGTTCAAGACTGATCAGGGGCAAGGAATAGTGCTTTAATGCAACGACTGAGGAAGAATGATTGAACTGCTGTAGTATTGGTAAGAAAACCAGATCCAGAACTACCAGCCACCGCCAATGCCACTACGATTCTTACGACACCTCTATCATGCTTGTTGCAGACTACCACTTCGAGGCACAAACCTGGCGCCCTACCCTAATCCCAACAATGTGACTTCATACATCCGAAACTCTAAACTCAGGGGGCCTTTAGGGCCCGCTGCCGCCGCTTCTCATCGCAACGGTTGATCATCTGGAGCAAGACCTGGCTAGGTTTTCCCCTCTTTCCCCGGTTCGACCTCGTCATGATTTCTGTGGGCGCTGGGCTCAGGCGGTAGACTTCATAGTGTCGGATGATGGTTCCAGGGTCTCAAAACAGGGACGTGACGGCCTGCAAGACTCATCGAATCATCAAGGCCAGTGCCGTAGGCGAAAGGTACCGCCAATTTGCTTCCGTCAATAAAACCGAACCACCGCGAAGTCGAAACGCTACAGTCAGAATGGCAACCCAACCTCTCCTCCGTATCGAGACCCAGGCTTCAGCGGTCTGGCAATTGGAGTTCTTTACGGGTTAAGGTGCTGGGAGCCTCCACCAAGATTTTGCCACCAGGATGCTGGGCCTTGCCACCAGGGCTGAGACTTTGTCTCAATAGTCGTGGAGCTGGGGGTAGTGGCAGTACAATCAGTGAAAGTAATCAATCGTAGAAGCAGTAGCAGCCGGAGAAGTCATTCACGTAGGACGTAATCGACGTAGCAGAAGTAACGCAAGGGGGTGGTAGTAGTCGTCGTTATCCAGTAAGACGAGGAGGAGCAAGACGACGACAGATGTGCTACCATGAGACCAACATAAAAGTCCAACTTATCACACGACAAACAGGCACAAACAGACACACATATCCTGGGCATATTGCCTGATTGCATATACATACATATTCTCAGCCCTGAAGCCCAGACATCTTGCTGAGTTCCCGCATCACCTTTCCGCCTGTTGAACACCTGACCCCGAGATGTGCAGCGCGAAAATATCGATGATGGAGATATAGGTGATGACAATCACAATTGACAATAGATCATTAATGGTTTCCTTGTCCTCGTAGGAGGAGAAGGAGTATTGGTGGTCGTACTGGTAGTGGTAGCGGTAATCGTCGTTACCGGTAGCAGGAGCCCTAGTAGCGGTCGTAGTCGTCGTCGTAGTGGTGGCAGCAGCGCAGGTGGTGGTGGTCGTCGTAGTAGTGGTAGTAGTAGTAGTAGTAGTAGTAGTAGTACAAGTAGCACAAGTAACCAAAGACTCGTATGTTGGAATGCGAGGTATAGACTTCGAGGCAAAGCGCGATCAAGGAAAGCTCATGAAGGCGGGGACATCGGGGTCAGCCTTTGCGAAAGGGTCTGAGAGACTCGGATCACGTGTCAAGTTTTGAGCATGAGCCTGAATTTATAGAATTCTGGATATCTCTAACGCAATTGGAGAGCGAGCTGTACTTGAGATCAAAAGGTTCCAGGATAGAAGTTTCACCTCTGCAGCATCACATCCTCATTTCTCGCTCACTCTTCGCACGCGATTCTGTAGAAACAGAGCAAAGCTTGGACAACAACCAAGAGATGGATTTCAAAGCCGTATATCTATGTCGTGCGTAGCCAGCGCGACGGGGGTCTCTCATGCCAAGAGACGCTCCACCTCACCTCTGCTTGGCAAGAGATCCGCATCACTGCGAGGCTTCAGGATTAGTTCACCTGAACGGAAGTCAACCTCGGTTGCATAGTTCTCATCGATCTCCTTGGAACTGGCTCAAACACTCGGAGATGTTCTTCTCTGCGGAGGGCTGTTAGACTGGACCAGTTGTTCGATCCTGATCTGGTTGATTGCGTTCAAGCGTGGAGGGTGCATCCTCTTGTTGATGTCTGCGCTAAGAAGAGTGCGTGCTCCACTCGAGATCATCTGGAACATGACTTTTGTGCCGAAATACTTGGGGTTGCCCGTTTTCATTTCGACCGCACAACCACATTCATCAACTGCATCGACATCGGCCGAGAACAGGACGGTGAAACCAGCAACGTGCATGATGCGAAGGCTTTCTGTCTTCATCAAATCATGCTTGTCGCTGATTCCTCGACCAGTCATGAGCCTCTCAAATTGGAATCCGATGTCGGCATAGTTCTGCACGTACTGCTTGTGCTTGGACAACAGGATAACGTCTGTGCCAGGGCAGCGTTGGGTCAAGTACTTGGTGCCGGCCTCGATGGCCTGTGTGCCAGGACTTCCAGAGAGTTGGCCACCCAGAAGAAAGTCAATGCCCTCTAACGATCCACGTCGCTGCCAGGCTAGGTAGAGGGGCACCATGTACCCTGCGTCATATGGAAAGACATTGGGCACATGGTGAGGAACCGGTGAGCCATCAAAATTGCGAGGCAGGGAGATGCCGCAGATATTCACTGTGACAGGTGGCTCCCTGTCTTCGTCACAAAGGCCTTGCAAAACATCTGCGGCCGTAACCTCACGGAAGCAGCCCTTTTGCGCGAGACCTGCCGGACTCCACGTCTAGATTCCCAGGTCCTGGACCTCCTCCAACTCAGGCCACTTGGAAACCTCGCTTGCGAGCGGCGGTCTTGGTATCCTGCCATGCTGCCACTGCCGCTGGGCCGAAGTAGTGACTTACAGATGCTGCTGTACCTTTGTCTCGAGCTGCGTAGCAACAGGATGCACTTCTGAACGCATCGAGTGGGCCATGCTGTGAAACTGCCATGATATGATATCTTACGCGTTTGTGTACATCGAACTCTAAACCCTTAAACCCTAAAGCATCTCGGCGTCGAGCTATGGCGTCGCAGAGCATCGGTCGGTAGTCGCCGCCCCAGGCATGTACCTCACAGGGCACACAGCAGACCCACAACTGTGACAGTACTTTACTATCACAGAATGTACCATACTATACTCGACCATACGATACCACAATACAATACAGTATGCAATACTCTAACTCTAACTTACTACACCGTACATATCTGTAAATTAGTTCCAAGGGCAATACCTCAAGTCAGGCTTCTAACAGGCAGCGTAGTTCTCGCATAGGACTCGTGCTCATATGGTCAGACGCAGCTTGCACTCCCGCCGATGTACGAACACGCCTGTCGACCCCTCCATATATGCATGCATATAAACGAATGCATGCTGAATGGACGAAGGCAACACCCATTTTCGTCCGACAATGTCTGCGAGAGATTTTCGAGAGCTGAACTTTGCAGAACTGAACCCTGCTGAGGCATCAACCCGAAGTGCCACCTGTTTGGGTTCGGGGCTTTATGGCCCTTAGGGTTTTGGGCAAGGTTTCATCGCAGGGGTTTTTGGGGCTACTAAAGGGGTTTACGGGCCGGGACCTGACAGGGTTTCCAGCTCCGTGACGAGAACTTGCGACCTTGAGCAAAGCTCAAACCACAAATCTTCGCGCACACACCAAATGGAAACAGTCTGCGACTTACGCGCAAGGCACGATACGAGCAGGTTCCCGCTGACGTTGAGCAGCATGCGTGTGCATGCAGTCACGCGCACATGGTAGTATATTAGTATACGCGCATGGCTTAGGAGCTGCATGAGCGATCTGGACGGGTATCTTCAGACAAATACAAGCCATCACACACGCACATATATACATGCATACATACATACATACATACATACATACATACGGACGGACAGACAGACAGACAGACAGACATGCATCCATACATCCATACATCCTTACATCCATACGTCCATACATGCATGCATGCATACATGCATACATATATATAT